GTCATTTTTTATTCATATATATTGTCTTCTCTACTGGTTAAATTGGAGAAATTTTCATATATATATATATATATCTATATATATATATATATATATATAATTACATGAATCATTCATACAAAAAACAAAATAGAGGTTAATGATTTAAATGGCAAGAATACATCTTCGCAAACAATTTCAATAAGATACACTAACCCCGAACCTGTATATGAATATGATCCCCGTTTATAAATTCCAGTTGTATAAGGTCTTTTTTAGTTTTTACAAGCTTTCGTCTGTTCCTACAGACATCCTCAGGTATGGAAATAGATTTGTTCTTGTTTTTTTCCTTCCCGGTAATAAGAGGACAACGAAAATATAGATGTAATCCGAAAAAATGCTATGAAAAATGTATTATTATTTTGGAACGTGCAGAGCAACGCTGAGTTTGAATTTTAAATTTTGAGGTTGTGCGTTTTTGTACAAATATAGTAATAAGTGAATTCTTTTGTACTGGTAGGTTGTCCGTCATTGTGGCATATATATATATATATATATATATATATATATATATATATATATATATATATATATATACAAAATTGATTACATAACTATGAAATTTCGATTCATGCTTTTCCGTTTAAACCTTACATATGGCATCACATTGAAACTGATTACAATATAATAAGGATATATTATAATTCCAATAATGTTATAATAAGAATTTTATTACCCAGACTGTTATTCACATCTTCATTGCCATATTCACAAAGTTTCGGCCGTTGTACACCTTCTTCAGGTGACTGGAATTTCGAACCGAACCCTTTGTTTATTGTTCTATTTCCACGTGCCATTCCTTTTTCGGGTGTTTATTTCACCTTTAACGGAACTCTCTAAGTTTTTTTGGTTCAACCCTGCTATTGTCTAGTATTGAACTCACAACTCTTTGAATCTAGCCAACGCAGTTATCCATGCATCCTTGAGGACAACTGAGCATGAATTTCTCGGACCTAATGTCCCAGCAACAGTTCTTTTTATTTTACCAGTGCTCATATTTCAATTTTTTTTCAGTTATTATTATTGCATATTTTAACAGAGCATATATTGCAATTTTTGTTGTTATTCATTGCTTTTCTCTGGCACTTCCTTATATATATATATATATATATATATATATATATATATATATATATATATATGTATATATATACTCAAATCTAGTGAGCCAGATAAACCTACCCAGGTTTCACGGTATCTGTGCGATTTTTTTTCCGATAGACATTCATGTTACTGACTCTTTCTTTTTTTTAAAACCTTTTTTTTTTCCTTCGAGATTGATTTGATTATTGGCAAATCAAAAATTCGAAGGTTTTTTCGAGACGAGTATAGTTACCTATATATATATATATATATATATATATATATATATATATACACGTACATACAAACACGCACACATAAAAAATTAGTATACAATCGATTTCTCATTTTACCCGTTATATTTACCAAAATATATACATGTATATATATATACGTACATACAAACACACACACGCAGACGCACGCACACACACGCATATATATATATATATACATACAATATGCGATGGATAAATTGCCGTCTAGATGAAACAAAAATTATTGTAGCATTCATTTCTATGCTTGGCCGGCTCAGGAGATTTTTGTGGCCTAGCATATATGCTGATTCCTTATGTTTCCGTATTTTCCAGTGGGATTCTCTGTTTATTATTTCAACCTCGTCCCCCAGCGGCACGGTGATCTCTTTTTTCCCTCCATATATAGTCAACTACTCCTGATTTTTCTATATCCCCTCGTGTTACCACCTTATGATGTTCTTGCAGTAAGAATAATGTAAATAATCACAATACTCATCTCAGAGATATAGAATGCATTGCAAATACGGGCTCAAATTTCTTGAAGATATTGTACCACAAAAGAAACAATACACACGAAGGAAAATATTTTTCTGCACAGGAGACGGCATATTAAATTATGAATAAGATATATAATATGTGAACAGAATAAAAAGAATACGTATAGATATTGGATGCATGCATTTCCGGGCTGGTCTAGCTCCGTGTAACCGTTACATTTGACGTAATTTTAGGCTGACTAAAATTCCATCTCTGCAAAAATGCCAGAATGTAGGTAATGAAATCTTGTTAACCGCAGAAACAAGACATGTTTCTTAATAATGACTGATATTGTTGAAGTACTTGAACAGAGCAATACAAAATCATTCAAAATAATGAGAACATTATGAGACAATATTTTGGAAAAAAATAAATTATATAAAATTTAATAGCCAAATCTCAAATTTGAACAAAAATTCTTTGGATTAATTTTTGTTGCTAAATTTATATATATATATATATATATATATATATATATATATATATATATATATATATATATATATATATATAGACCTGGACTTAACCTATTGTTGTGAAAATTTAGTTTTATATTCCTTTTTTCTGCTTATTAACATATAAAAAAACCTGGAATCATACGGCCATTACATTCTGAGAATTGATGGGTGTATAGTTTCGTAATTTCGTTGTTGACTATATATATATATATATATATATATATATATATAGGCCTGGCGATT